AAACTGTTTAAAGAGGCAACTCTGAAAGTTTCAAGGCCCAGAGCACAGCCTGACGAGGAGGATGAAGATGAGGTGGTAAGGGAACCCCAGGCACTGCCGAGTCCTCACGCCACCACCTGGGAGCCCTTCCCTGCTGGCTCTGAGAAGAGGACCGGAGCCTGTGGGTGGCCCACGCCCTGGGCTCTGTGCGCAGCGCCCTGTGGGAGCAGGCTTGGGGCCGGGAGGGGGCAGCTCTGTAAGCAGAGGGGGGATGGGCAGATACCACTTTATTCCTGAAAAGGGGGCACAATCTCCGTCCACGCGGGATTGGTTTCTACTGTCAGGGAAGGAGGTTGCGCTGCTCAGTCGCGCACCAGCACGCCAAGGCCTCGGGTTCCCACAGGGCTGCTCAGAGACTGCGTTTACAACCAGAAGGGACCCGGAAGGTCTTGTCTTGCATCCTTACTCGTAGACAGAGAAACTGAGGTTCTGAAAGGTGGTTTACCTAAAGCCACGGGGTAGGGGGCTAGTGGCAGAGCCGGCTCCTCCTACAGCCGCCTGTGTCTGAGCCTGTCTGCTTCCCCAGCTGCTGCCTTGTTTTGTCTCCACAACACCCTGGCCAGAAGACAGCCTCGCTCTGCAGAGCTCCAGGGTGGTAGCTGAGGGCAGCTTGCCCGTGGAGCCTGGGTCAGAGCCCCGATTCTCGCATCTGTTGTCCCCACTGTGCGACGCTTACTGTCACTAGGACACTAGGACGTTCAGCTGCCCTCATGGGGATGTCGCCAGAGGAGGCGTGGGTGGACCACACACACAAGCCTCAGGCTCAGCCTGTCCCAAGGACAGAACCTGCGGTGGCGGCTGGGGGCGTGTGTTCTCCCCCCACGTGTCAGCCAGAGTGGGCCGTGCCTTTTGCCAGAACGCCGGCGAGTGGCAGAGCCAGGAGTGGGCTTGTGTGTACCAGAACACTTCCGTCCTGCTGCTCCTCCGGGACGCACGCCGTTCCCCCCACCCCCCCAGCCTTCTTCCCAAGGATTACATTTTCATCCAAGGATTCTGCATGTGAATGCTGCACTTAGAAATAAGAACAAAAACCAGTTGAGCATCCCCAGCATCTGCCCTAAATATCATTGGAGTGTTTAATTAGCAGTATATTATAAGTATTACTATGAATACTGTCAAGTTCCTTCCTATTTCCGGGGTACTCTGAAAACCTCACAGACATTCTCACTGAGTCGCCTACTAATGCAGTGAGATAGGCGCCTTTATCCTGTTTTATAGGAAAGAGGACTGAGGCTCGGCAAGTTTAAATAACATGCTCAAGGTTACAACGCTGGTGAATGGAGAGCCCGAATAAAACAGGAGCAGTGGGCCACATTTTATTCACTACTCTCAGAGTTTAGAGATTACGTAGTTGATGCCCAGAGAGAGATACAGGGTCTGTTAGCTGGTGGTGGGGATGGGATCAGCTCCGGGACCCCTGACGGGACCCCTGACGCATCATGCTGCCTTCTGTTTGGCCGGTCCTATGAAGACCGACCCTGGGCGAGAGTAGCCCAGAGCAGGAAGTGCCCTAGTAGGGGGTGGTCTGTGCGGGCCTTTCTCCAGCATCAACCCCTGCTGTCCCCATGGGACCGGGTCCCGCCAATCCAGAAGAAAAGGCCGGGAGCTCAAGTCATGACAAGTAGAGGAACTTCCTCCATAGCCTGTTAATCCCCCTTTCCCTTCTACCTGGGTGGGGGGGCAAGGAAAGGGCCAGTGAGATCAAGGTTGTGACCCTGTCCTCCTAGGCTTTCTTCATCTCTCGTCCTCTCTTGGATTCTCCACTTGGTAATGTGGCCAAGCCTCCGAACTCCACTCTCTCAAGTGGTGGGGTCACGTCTAGAACCAGACAGGCCGCCAGAGGCCACAGCAATGTTTTCTCAAATAGAGCTGTGTTCTTCCCAGCCTCCCTTCGCCTTCCTGCGTCTTGTGTCTCCCCTTAGGGCTGCTCTGCTTCTCTCTTCCTCCTGCTCTCCCATCTCTCCCCTGTCGACCCTGCTTTTCCCACACAAAACTGTAAGTCACTGCATGAGAAGAAACCTGTCCAGTCAGTACACATGTCTCAAATAAATGACAAAGTTAGCCAAAGCTGGTCTTCTCGTGTCTGTGTTGGAAGACTGCCTCCCTTCTCTGCCTGCTGGTCTCAGCTTTATCTGGAAGCCCAGGTTTGCTGGCCTCGGGGTTGACTGTTAGTAAAACCATAACCAGCACCCTCTTTTCCAACACGGAGCCGGGTTCACTTCCCCTCACACAGGCAGGAAGGCCATCTGGTGCAGGGTCCAGTGAGGACTGACTACTCTTTCCTGTTTTGGCAGAGCTTGAAGGGACGCCCGCCCCCAACACCCCTTTTTGGAGATGATGACGATGACGATGACATTGACTGGCTGGGATGAAGCCCCATAAAACTGGTGCAAAGGTTTCCCTGAGCACGATTTTGCACAGCCAGCCCCGGGTCTAGACGAGCCACAGGGGGAGGTGAAGGTGAGCGTTCTGAGGACAGCAGTGCAGATATCTGAGTCTGGCAGCTTCTGAGCGCCCCGCCCGGCTGGTCCGAGAGGAGCGTGAGCCTGTCTTCACAACGCTGGGATCCCGCCTCAGTGTCCCGTTGGGAGAATGGGCTAGTGGGTTGCCTCCAGCCAGTCACCTACGAGAGTCCTGTCCTCTCGCGAGCTTTTTATTCTCTTCACTAACTCAGACTGATCTGCCCTCTGATGCTCAACTGTGCACCAGCAACAGGACCTGTCGCCTCAGGGGAGGTCTCCCTGGTGGCACCCAGGTAAACAGCCTTGCCTGCAGTCCTGGGACATGTATCTTTTCTCTGCCTTAAGTCTGATACAAGAGGTCGATGAATATTTGAAATTAACAAAACTCAAATAAACGTCTGCAATGAAACTTGACACGAGCTCTTGGGGAGAGATTGAATTTGGCTCTGAGGCAGGCCGCGCTCCTCTCTGGGGGTGTCAGGGGAAGAGTTGTAACAGACCTGGCTCGGTTAACACGCAGGAAAGCAGTGTGACACTCCCTGGGCACCCCGGAATTCAGGCTTTTAAGGAAGGTCACCACTCTGCTGTCCCCATTCGTCCCGGCCGCATGAAGGCTAGGGGCATCGTGGTTATCTGAGAACCCGTCATTTCATCTGCTTGCTCCAGCCCACTGGGTCCTGCACCCTGGGAAGCCATGCATAGAAGTGGGGAGGGTCCAAACGCTGCATTTCGTCATGGCACCAGAGGGACTGACCTTTCACTTTTATTAAGTTTATTTATTTTGAGAGGGGTAGGGAGGGTAGAATAGGGAGAGAGAATCTCAAACAGGCTCCACACTCCGTGCAGAGCCCGATGTGGGGCTCAATCTCACGACTGAAATCGTGACCTGAGCCGAACTCGAATCAGAAGCTTAACCAACTGAGGCACCCAGGCGCCCCGGATTCTTCTCTTTGAGAGCAGCTTCCAGGGCCGGGACTAATGCCAAGAAGAGTAGTGACAAAGTATACGTGGTCATTTTACTTATTCCAAAGACCATGCAACCAGTCTTCAAAAAGAATAATTTTAATAAAAACGTCCCCCGGTTTAAAATGTTTCTAAGAGAAGCTCCTGAGTTCCGATGGCCCGACACCATCCTTTGTGACGACGGCCCCTTTGGGGCTTGTCTGCCGTGAGTGGGGCTGGGGGGCGGAACTACCGTTGACTCGGCTCTGTTGTGGAGCACTTTACGCAGACTGTCTCTTCTCCATGGCCCCTGCAGAAGACAGTTACCCCATTTTAAAGAGACTGAGGCTTGGAGGTAAATTACCGTGTCCGAGGTCACATAGCTAGGAAGCAGGAGAACGAGAATTCTGGTCCTGGCAGGCCCGTTCCAGAGCCCGGGCTCTTGTCCACCACGGTGGTGACCACCACTGGGTTGGGAGGAGAGGGTGGTGGTGCCGGTCAGAAATACAGGCTCCTGGGCCCTGTCCCAGATCTCCCAAAACAGAGTCTCTGTCCTGTGGTGGTAAGATACACAGCACAGGCTTTTCGGTCCCCGCGGTCTACAGTCATAGCCTCGTGCCACTGGGCATCGGGTGGTCTTAGCCAGTTCCCTCTTAGCCTCCCCTCATCTGATGAGGGGACTCGGGCCAGGCTGCCTGGCCCTGCCTCCTGGCGCTGCCACTCACGGGCTGGGTGACTTTCTTGAACTTCTCAGTGCTCAGCTTCCTCTTTTCTAAAATGGAGTTTCTACCGTGTCATGAAGGTTAAATGAGTTAATACTGCAAAGTGCTTAGGACCCTGGCATGTAAAAAGCACTAGATAGGTGTCTGTTCCAAATTTTTAAAAATCCAAGATAGAGAAGGTGCCACCTCTTGTGACTTGGGCCTGAAGCACGTCCACATGCTCAGTCTTACTAGCTTCTCTGGAGCATAGGTTTTCTAAAAGCCCTCTGGGCTATTCAGGCCCCATGCGTATTACGTTTTGAGACCCTATCAAACCAAGGAGGGTGCCGGTCCTCCATGGAAGTGCTCATCTCCGCAGTGCCCTGGGCGCTGGAAACCTTCCTTCCATCCTGACACAGAGCAGCCTGCCAGCTCCTGCTGAGGTGGGGAGGTTGCACTGGTCAGTACTGAAGGCGCCACGTACTTTCTGTCGCGGTTTCATTGTAAATTAAAAAGGGGGGGTTGATGTACTTTTGCTTCTGGCCTCGGGGAGAAGGTGCTTCTCAGTCTGTGTGACAAACTGTTGTCTTTCTCATGGGGCAGCCTCCGGTCAGTATTTGTTGTGAACATAATGACTGTCGGGAAGCTAAGGTTGCGGGGTGTCTGCCTGAGGGCACGGCGTTTCAGGGTTGGCTTCCCTGAGCACGGAGCTGTCTTCATAGCAGATGGACAGACTGCGTGCCGGGACAGCCCTACAGCGGCACTACCAGCCGCATTCGCCCCACTCAGCTCCTGCAGTGATGGGGTGGCGTGTGCTTGCTGTCTCAGTGAGGAGAAACACAAGAATGGTCACAGATTGTTTAAAATATATGTATTTATTAACACGTATATTTCTTTTTTAATCCCCAAAGCATAAGACCGTCGTTCATCTGGCCCGTGAGGTACTTGAGCATAGACATTACAGTATACAGCAGTGATTTTCCCTCCCTGGATCTCTGGTTTCCTTTTCTGTAAAGTGAAATATCTGGAGAGCCCCACTTAAGTCTATAAATGTAATGCTTTGGTTTGACTGCTTATTGCGTCTGCGGTCAGCGCCCCCCGCGGCTTCCCCAGCATTTCAAGTGAAAGAAATCATGTTTCCCCACCAGGTGATTATGGCCGAGCAGGAAGTAATAAATAGAAAACATTAAGTATTGAATATTCAGTGCGGTTCTCTGTTCTGCATAAAAGAAGGGTCAGGATAAAAGGGGGCAGTGGAGCCATGGAAAGCCGCCCCAGACACCTCAAGCCCTTAGACTGTTTTCCTCCCGCAGGCAGTGCTCTGACGGGAGGAGCTCCCTATCCAGAGGGTACGTGAGGAGCCTTGATACGTCCCGTTCCTCTGCCTTTAATCTGCGGTCACTCACTCTCCCCACAAGAAAGAGAAACGGTTCCCAGCAGAAGTTGATCCAGCATGAATAACATGAAGTCATTTCATTAGAAGTTTTGTCCTGTATTAATGTGCAAAATTGCCAACCAGGGGTTCAATGGGAAAAATGAAGAATCTTAGTTTGTTACCGTGATCCACAGAAGGGGACAATCTTTATGTGTCCCAAAGGCAGAAAGGTGAGAAAAAGGAGGCAGCGTGGTCACCGTGCCTCGGAGACAGAAGAGGTCAGGACGTCCAGTGGCAGACGCCCCTCTACAGAAGGCACAGATCGTGAGGGCAGAAGGACTCCAGCTTCCGTGCCCTTCATCACCCAGAGCCCATCTCCCTGTCTCGAAGATCTTTGGAAATTCTTAATTTTTGAGTCACAGAGATAAGTCATCATGGGCTCAACAACCCTGTCCCCAGGTTCTGGTCTCTCCACTCTCCCTCGGGTCACAGAAGCCTTACTAAGGCACAAAACGACTGCATGGGCCCTGAGCATGCTGGCTGAGGACAGAGATAGCTGCGGTGGCTTCCTGACTCCAGGCAGCAAGTGCTGGCTTCAGCTGAAAGCCTCCAAGAGCTGGGAGTGAGGCGAGGAACAGCCATCAGAAGGAACAGAGACATGGGACCAGAAGTTCAATGTCTGGAAGAGGGGGCCCCAGCTCTCTCTAGCCCTCAGGGCCCACACAGCCGTCACCATCTAAGCCATGCTGAGAAGTGGGTAGGCTAGGTAGTATCCTACAGCAGAGCCAAGGATCACGCCGAAGAAAACCCAGGTGTTGTAGGACATGACAGCCAGCATCATGAAGTAGCCTATGACCACCTGGACGACATGGATTAGAGACTGGCCAAAGTGACATAAAAACCACCTAGATGAAAAGGAGAGCCAAGTTAATGTTGGTAATGAACTGGAAGCAAGGAGCTGGTGTCAGGAAACAGCAGTTGAGTTACAGGACCAGCTTATTTTTAATATGTATGCTTCACCCAGAAGAGATTTCTTTTTAAAGAGCTCTAGTTGAAACCAACAGGGGATAGGGCCTTATACAAGGGGCCTTGGATAATCACATCTTTACTACATTTAGCTCTGAGCTTCCTGGCATCCTAGGCAAAAAGGGAAAATGAGACCTGTATTCTGTCATGTCTGATAAAAAGATAATACAAAATCCTCAGTAAGGCAGATTTTTTTTTCCTTCTGAATCTACTACGGGAGGCAGTATCACAATGAAAAGAACATGGGCTTTGGTGGCAGATCAGCTCCTAGGTCTGCCACTTAACACCAATAACCTGTCTGAACTGAAATTTCCTCATCAGTAAGTCAGGATCAGAACACCTCCCTTGCAGGGTGGGGGTGTATCGTAGAGACGCCCGTGTAAGGAGCAGGTAGGCTCGGGAAGCACAGGGGGAGAGAGGGCAGAACTGCATCCCTATGGGGCTGCCTTGTCAGAGCGGGATGGGGAGGAGAGAGTGGGGGGAAGAGGGAGCTCCTTGACCAAAACGGACCCGTTGCCGACAGCAATTCTTACTATTTGTGTAGGGATGGCTGCAGATTCCATGCTGGGTTTGGAAACCTTAGTGACCTAAGAAATTCTGCTGAGATCTGGAAGGGGGCCGAGTGGGCACCCCTATTCCTAGGCGGAGGCCTGCACCGGAGTTCTGAAGGTCTGAGCCTCCCAAGCGGCTGTGCACAGAGCTCTGGCCTGGGCATCAGGTCTCCTCCCTACTAACTCACTGTAAGCACGTTGGCAAGTTCTGGTCCTTCCTTGGGCCTTGATTTGCTTTCTGTGAAGTGGGGCTAATGCCCTGTGGGCCCGGCCTCTCTCTCAGGGTGAATGTGAGTACTCTGCCGTTCCCCACACACCGTGCCTGTTACCTGAGGCGGGTTCTGCCGGCCGGGGCGGAGTCTGAGGCTGAAGAATCCTGGTCTGTCTCCTCAACGAGCCGCTGGCTGGAGAGGACGGACATGGTCGCTACAGCCTGGTGCAGCAGCTTGGCTTTGCCGACCTTGATGCTCTCATACAGCACGGCCAGGAACAGGACCACCAGCACGGAAAGGGCCATGCCTGTCAAACGAAGCCCAGTTGCAGAGACCTGGCCAGGGAAGCGCTGGTCGCCTTCTGGCAGCTTCCCCTGGGATAGATGGCAGAGAGCACCTCCACACATGCCCTCTGAATCCATTCCGGCCCCCTCTGTCTTGCATCTTCCCCACCCGCCGTGGGCTCAGAACTTCACTGTCTCTTTCCCTCTCCAGTTCTTTCTTGGAAGGGCTGGCCTATTGGGGTATGGCTTGGAGATCAGGAAGAGAAGCCCTGTGGGAAAGCCGGGTCCGAGGGTGAAGAAGCCATACGCCACCACCCTTAGCTACTAGCTACTCTCCCTACAGGGGACACAATTCTCTACCATGACTTCATTTTTTTTTTTTTTTTTAAAAAGGCACAAGTGGTGTAGGGGCAGAGAGCGAGGGAGAAAGAGAATCCCAAGCAGGCTCCATGCCCGGCACAGAGCACATTGCAGGGCTCCATCTCACGACCTCAAGGTCACCACCTGAGCTGAAATCAAGAGTCAGACGCTCAACCGACTGAGCTGCCCAGGTGCCCCGTCACAACTGCTTGTTAAGGGAAGAGCATGTAGAGTGAAGTCCTGTTTACGAGTATGTACATAGAAAAGTCTGGAAGAAGGGAGATTCAACAAAGGAGTCATAATTATCTTAGCAAATTAGAATATTAAAGAGATTTTAGTATAAGCAGAGGAGGGGCAAAGGGAGAGGAGGGCGAGAGCCCCAACCAAGCTCCAGGCTCTGCACACACAGAGCCCGGCGCGGGCTCAATCTCATGACCCCGGGATCATGACCTGAGCCGAAATCAAGAGTCAGACACCCAACCGACTGAGCCACCCAGACGCCTCAGGATATAAGAGAGTTTTATTTTCTTCTCACCTAATTTCCCAAAGTTTCTACTGTGTGTATTGCTTTTATAATCGTGGGGGTGGGGGGGAACCCAGTAAGTTATTTTACAGCAAACATTAAGTGCTTACTAGGGCTGCTGTGTAAAATTAGCTCCTAATTGCTACTTTGGTTTTACAAGACAGGAAGGATACTAAATGGTCCAGCTCTGGTTATTTTATTGGGCTCCCGGGAGGAAATCATCTACAAAAGATGCGGGTTATTTAAAATATAAAATTACCCGTAATTACATGTGTATGGTACAAATTCAACTGGTGCAAATTCAAACGGTGAGTCTCCCAGCCCAGCCCAGTCCCGAAAATCCCAGTCGTCTCCCTGGAGCGTTTTCCTCCACAGCTTTCCAGGGATACCCGCTGTGGACACAAGCCTCTGTCTGCACAACAGCCTCCTGCGTCCGCATATCCTCCCGCATCTGATGTCACCATCCAGGCACACCCTGTACAGGGGCTCCCCTTCGTTCACGCAGATCTACCTTGTTTCTGGGGCTTCACAGTGTCTGCGCTAGAGACTGTTTTCCAAAGACGCCCACCTCACCCCATCCCCGCCCACAAGCTCTAATTACAATGTCAACACTCCTGCGATCAAGTGGTGGGGTTCACGGCCCCTCCCCTTTAGGCCAAGAAGCCCTTTGTGATTTCTTCACTCAATCCAGGTGGAAGTGAGGCTCTGTGACTTCCAAGACTAGGTCTTAAAAATCCCATGCACTTGTACCTCGTTCTCTTGGCACACTCGCTCCTTGGAACCCAGCAGCCCTGCCACAAGGAAGCTGGGGGCCACGGGAGACGCCACAGGGATGGGGGGCTGGGCCAAGAACCTCCGCCGAGGGCCTCGCTGACAGCCAGCAGCGAGAGTCAACGGGAGCACGGAGGTCTTCCGGAGGATGCCAATCCCAGCCGCGGTCCCACCGCATCTGCATGAGAGGCTCGGAGTGGGGGCCGCCTGGCGGGGCACGGTCGACTCAAAGCATCGAGAAGGGGTGCTGCAGACTGGGGTCCCTGGGATGGCACACCGCTGTAGGGATGACCATCCTTCATTTGATTGACGCCCGCAAGTATGGGCACGTGGGCCACTTTCATTCTACTGTTAAGACGCAGTTACTGAAGCTGCACCAGACCTCCATCATGAATTGGGGCCCAGCTCTGCCCTTTCAGGTCAAAGCCATACCTTTCTCTTCTCTTGCAAACTGATGTTTCACCTGAAGCCCATCCCGCGGCAGCTGCTCTGGGTTTCTGAGCTGACGCCAGGCATGAGGGAGGTGCTAGGGACGCGCTAGGAGGCAGTGAGACGTCTCGATCTACTTCTGGCTCTGAGGTTTACTCGCTGTGTGACCCTGGATGAGTCTCTTCCCCTCTCGGGGCTTCAGTTCCTTCCCTGGTAATAGAGGAAAAACCGCATCCTCGGCCTCTCTCTGGGCCTTTGTGATAGTCGGTGAGATAATGGTGCCTTTTTGGGATCCAAAGAGCAGTGCTTGCAAATGGAATTATAATTGAAAGGCTCCCACTCAATGTTTATATAAGAGGAGTCAGGCCCACTTAAATGCCCACAGAGTGTTAACACTAACGAGAACCCAGGCTCTCCACTGCCTAGAGCTAGAAGGCTTCCCAACTCTTACCTGCAGGACTGTGGACACTCCAGAAATCAAACAGAAGCACCACCTCATTGGAGAAAATGAAATGCATCTGAAAGAGAAGGGAATCTGCATTACAGGGGGTTCAGGGCAATGGAAGTCATGGCCCCTGATGCTCTCCAGCAGCCTCCCCTAAAGGCTCAGAGGAGAGAGTTCACTGGTTTTAAGTGCAGGAAGGGACATTAGTTGCCCCCAGGACCAACTGAGGCCAGGCAGGGCAGGGACTCACCCAAGGCCCATTGGTGGGTGGGTGGCAGAGTATCATGGAGCTGGTTCTGCTCCAGGTGGAAGTGAGTGGGGTTCCACACAGGTCGGTGTTCTCATGTCATGCTGGGCAGTGCCCTCCAAACCCAATGGGGAAGCACTAGACTGGGGAATGACTGCCTCTCTTACCCCGGGACTCTGGCCATTCTGTTCCAGCCATGTGTGTCCTGGAGGGGCCGGCGCAGCTGTCTCCGCTCTGTGCTCCACAGCTGTCCGCCCTAAACATTTGCTGACCCCATTCTGTGCCCAGCATTCTAGACAAAGGCTAACATCTCTGCCCTTGATGAGCTCCCCGCCTTACGGAAAGAACGAACATAGAAGCACAGACCATGCAGCCGCCATCTGAACACCCTTCTCAAAGAGCACCTTGCCCATCCGGTGTCTAGGGTGGCATCGAGGGCTCTTTATACATTATCTGAGTTCAACAACAGTCCTCTGTGTGACAGGGGCAATTAGGCCCATCTCACAGAAGAAAACCCAGGAAACTAGGCTCAGAGGACTAAAGTAATTTGCTGAAGTTCCCAAGGCTAGGAAGTTGGCAGAGCTGGGATTCTAGGCTGGGTCTAGTTGAATGCAAAAGCCCCGTATATTCCAAGATGCTATGCTCCCCTCGATCGCCAAGAAAGGAGGACAAGAAGGGAGTCGGGTGGCAATTCTCAATACCCACACCAGGCTTAATGACTGCGTTTGGCAACATTAAAGCTGGAGGGATCGGTGTTAGTTCACCGTCTCAGGGAAACGAAGGTCCCCTCTCATCACCGGGTTAAGTATGACCTCAGTCAGCAGTGCTCCGCCAGCTAAAGGGACCCTGGCTGAGTGGGATCAGATGACAAAAGTTTTGCCTTCTAAGGCTGGTATTAGAATTGTGGGAGCCCAACAGTGACCACAGGAAAGCGTGGTTAGGGACGCGGGGATGTGCCTGCACACGGGGCTCCCTGCCTGGGCAAAGCATGCCTGCAAACAGAATGCTCTGCCAGGAGGCCTGCACACAATATCCAAGTTTAATGGTCCGCTCGCAAACGAGGGAACATGCCCTCCTTAGAAATAAGGAGAAGGCTGGAATTGTGAGCAGGCCTCTTAGTAAACATGTTGTGGTCGCTTCCTCCCTTTGCTCCCCCCTGTCCTTGAAATGTGTTTGGCTACTTGCTCTTAATTGGTAAAGGAACGCATCTTGTAGATTTCAGTTTGTATCCAGTTACCGGGTATAAAATAAACCGCAAGAGGGGCTTGCGTAGAATTGTTCCTCCAGCCGGAGTTGTGTCTCTGTCTTTTGTGTGTGTCTTGTCCTTTGTGTCATTTCGTCCGCAACAAGAATCTCCCAAATGTCAGAGCTAGAGTGTCCTTAGAGAGTTTCTTCTATTGTGATATAATTAACATGTAAGTCTGTATTAGTTTCAGGTGTACATGATTCGTTATCTGTATATATTGTGAAATGATCAGCTAGCAAGACTAGTTTAACATCCATCACCACTCAGTTACAGATTTTCTTCGTGTGATGAGAATTTTTAAGATCTAATCTCTCAGCAACTCTTAAGTATACAATACAGCAGTATTAAGTCTAGTCACCATGTTGGGCATCACTTATTTTTTTTCCTCAGAGGGTTTTAGTCTCCTGGCTTTCAACTGGTTTTGGGTGGGTGGGTGGGTGGGTGGGTGTGTGGGTGTGTTTTGCCAGGAATCACTGGCAAATAAAATAACTCCACCACATAAAACCCGGGGTTCCAAGTGAAGAGGGGAGAGGGGTCCCAGCCTTGCAGAAACTCAATGTGAAAAACACTGATCTGGTCCCCCTTGGCCCCTCTCTACCTCCATCTCAGTCCCAAATGGGGAAAATGAGTCCCAGCAGAGGAAGGGATTTGCCTAAGACCTCATGAGAAGAAAAGGGAAACCTAGGCCATCATATAAAAATCATGCCAAAGAATTCTGAAATAAAAATACCTTCTTATCCCCCTAATGTGAAAGGGGTTACCTGTTCAATGTACAAAGCTGAAACAGTACCAAAGAGAAAGTAGAAATCACTTTGAGTCCTACTACCCAGAGACATCCCTTGTTAGGATTCTGGAAAGCATACGTGCGGTCTTGGCAAAAACGTTCACAAGAGACGGACATACGAAGACAAACAAGTACCAATCATCCCATGAAACTCCATTCACACTGGAGTTACGCTCCATCAGCTTCAACAGAAGCCTCGGGCACCACCTCTGCGGTGGGAGCAGAGCGGGTATTGCACCATGCCCCTTCCCTGGGTTCACTTAATAAAGCGGTTGGCATGACTGGAATGTCCCCAACGGCTAGTTAATCAGAGAAGTTCCCTAACTGGCTTCCTTCTATCATCCTTGGGCCTGGGCCAACGCTCTCGGGAGCCTCAATGTCTGAGGTAGACTTGAACACCCACAAAGCAATCAATTTAATTCGGCTGATGAACGTTGATTTTTGTTTTGCTAGGGGTGCAGATGCTGGAGATACGGAGACAAATGAGACAAGTCCTTGGCCCTCCCTGAACTAGTCAGGGGAGAGGGAAGGGAAGGGTATATGTAGTCAGCGAGAGGGAGGCACAGAGGATTAAGCCCCCTGGGGAGGTACCTAACCCAGCCAGGAAGGCAGATGGCTTGGACATCTGAAGCAGGAGGAGCAGGAGGCAGCCAGGGGGAAGACGGAGTCTAGTATGTTCCAAGCTGGAAGTGCCCAGATAGTGTTTCCAGCTCCCCAGGGAGTGGGGAGTTTGGGGAGAACAAAGCCTCACCTACCCTTACCTTTTCAACTGGAGAAAAGGACTCAAACCAGCATACTCTGACTTGGGGCTGCATTTTTCAATGAAACAGGGTCCTGTGGTCAGATATGTAAGAGGCACCGCCCTACGCTCCTTTCCCCACTGGGGTGGAATCTCAGCCTCCAGACCCCAAGTTTAACTTATCTGTGCCTTATTCAGGGCCCCACCCTGGGCAGGGAGGGGCTGTGGTGAAGAAGGGCGCAATCATGGACTTGTTTTCTTCTTTATGGTCTCATCTGCGGTTACTTACACTTTGAGAAGAACTCTCTCATTTACAAACCCAAGAGTTCAGGGGGAGCTGAAGGTCCCTGTCCTGTGCTGCCCTGTTCAGGAGTTTTTACAAGCTCTTCCCATCTATTTCCCCTTTTAGAAGGTCAGTAGGAGGTGGGTGTGAGCGTTTGACTAAATGACCAGTACTGGCTTCCTGTATCTTCAATCCTGTGACATTCTTCATGGGATGTATTATGATTTCTTCAAAGAACAAAGAGTCTTGTAAGCTGCCATTCTCTCCCAGGTGAACTCTACCTAAAAAAAATAGTCTGAAATGCACTTCCTACCCAAATGTAGGGTAGATGGAAAGTAGCTGAGTCTGGGGTTTTCCCTCCAGAGATTCAGACGACCGGCTTCAGCAACACGGAGCCGCCCCGGGGCGTGAAGTGCACCCGGCCTCCGCTCCTGATGGGGCCCTTCTCGGAATCTCCCCCAAGTCACGGCGCCCAGGGCAGGGAACCCTCGGCCAAGTCCGTCTTCACCCACCGCGCCTCCACCGCTCGTCGGGGCCGGATTGACTCCCAGCAGGAGGCACAAATAAGAAAATCCCAAAGCAAAGCCACCGCCAACTCCGCCTCCCGTGTCCCCCCAGGGCTCGCTCCCCGACAGGGGCGACGGGGCCCCTGCCCCAGCCACCCGCCTCGCGTTGTCCCTGTCGGCCCAGCCCGGACTCACCTTCGAGGTGAGCGCGCCGAGCGGGCGCCGGGGCCGCTGCTGCTCGCTCGGGGCTCCCAGCTCCGAGTCCGTCCAGCCGCCGCCGCCGCGATCGCGACCGGGACGGTGCGGTCACATGACGGCGTGAGGCGGGCGCGCAGGTGCCTGGGAGTTGTGGTCCCCACGTGAGGCCTCACTCCGGACGGCCTGGGACGCACCCACGGGGACCGCGCCGGAGTCGCCAGCGCCGCGGGGTTTACGTCCTGCGCTCCGTTTGGCCCTTTACCTAGTTTTGCTGTTGACCTGCCTTTGCCATGATCATTAAAAAAATTGATTGCTCTTCTAATAACCCGAGCAAAGCTGAACATGTTAAGTGAAAAATTGTTAAAGTCTATTCTATGGACAAAATAGCAACAAATCAGGAGTAAATTAAATTATGCCCTGGGCTTTTAATGTAGCTGTTCTTCTTCTGTCTTTTCCAATCTGATAAGCAAAAAAGCAGTACTCAGTTTTAATTTTAACTTCTATTTCTTGGATCACTAAGGCAAGTTTAGGGTGGTAAACTTTTTTCTCATTGGTATCTTCTGTGTATTGTCTGCCCATTTTATCCATCCAATTTTTCGAGGTGCGGGGAGTTTTCAGGGGGATGAGTGACCTTTAACAATATTTCATTTTTTAAAATATGTATTTATTTTTAAGAGAGAGTGTGAGTGGGGGGACCTGCAGAGAGAGACAGGGGATACAGAATCCAAAGCAGGCTCCAGGTTTTAAAGTGTCAGCACAGAGCCCAACGCCGAGCTCAAACCCATGAACCACAAGATGATGACCTGAGCCGAAGTCATTCACTTAACCGACTGAGCCACCCAGGTGCCCCAACAGTATTTCATTTTTTTTTTAATGTTTATTTTTGAGAGAGAGAAAGAGAGAAAGGAAGTGAGAGAGAGAGAGAGAATGAGCAGGGGAGGGGCAGAGAGAGAAAAAGGACTTGGATTCTGTGTCCAAAGCAGAATCCAAAGCAGGCTCCAGGCTCTCAGCCATCAGCACAGAACCCAATATGGAGCTCGAACCCAGGAACCGTGAGATCATGACCTGAGCTGAAGTCAGTCACTTAACTGACTGAGCCACCCAGGCGCCCAACAGGATCTCATTTTTTTTTTTTTAATGTTTATTTATTTTTGAGAGAGAAGGAGAGAGAAAAGAGCATGAGCAGGGGAGGAGCAGAGAGAGAAAGAGGGAGACACAGAATCCAAAGCAGGCTCCAGGCTCTCAGCTGTCAGCACAGAACCCGACATGGAGCTCGAACCCAGGAACCATGAGATCATGATCTGAGCAGAAGTCGGACATTTAACTGACTGAGCCACCCAGGCGCACCTCGTTTTTAAATATACCTAGTAACCCTTTGCCAGTTGTCCTGTGGGTAAAGGGAATCCTCAGAGAAATCCTCAGTACTAGTAGAGGACTTGAGCCTGGAGTGTGACCTCAGTTCAAATCCTGAAGAGCCTCAGTTTCCTGGTCAATAAAATGAAAATAATAACAGAATCTATGTCATAGGGACGCTCTACGGCTGAAATGAAGACCAAGTGTGTTAAGTTTTCAGTACAGAATCTGGCCATGGGAGCTTGCTCAGTACATGGTAGCCCTTGTCATCATTAGCACAGGTATTTCTGGAGAGGAAGCAGATGGCCAAAGGTCAAGACACTTCCTCAGGGTCACACAGCTTGTAAGAGCCTCAGTCTGAAGGATAAGGGGGTTAGAGGGAAGTCAGGGATCAGGGCAGCCTCAGGGAATGAATATGGGACCGACACCGTGACGGGGTCTGGGAGGGAGCCCTGCTGAGGGGGAGGCACCAGCCATGTAGGAAGCAGTGGGGAGAAGAGCTTATGGACACTCTTGAAGCATCTGGGCCCCAAGAGCTTGGGAGGGATTTGGCGATTCGGGTGTAATTTTCCACTGCTCTGGGCCTCACCTGGGAAACAGGAATAAGAAGACTTGACCTTCGCACAAGCAGGCTCTCATGCATTCCCTTACCCCCCACCTCCATCCCCTGCAGAAGATTTGACAACACGGCTTTATTCATTTGGGTGTTTTTGTTGGCTTCGTCACAATCTGGTGACCTTCACACTTAGTTCTTAACTTCCGCGTATGTGTTATGGTTATAACACTCTAGCCCTGAAGTTCTAAAGCGCCCCTTTTTTTCTGAGCCACCAGAGACTCCCCTCCTCTGGCCCCCAGGCAGAGAATTTGGTGCCAGGCACAGAATCCCAACTCATAAGATCACACCACAGCCAGCCAAGCAGGTCCACAGCAGGAGATGGTTTCCAGATCCTCTGCTCCTGAGGAAGAACATAGATTCTGCCCTTGTCTTTGCTAGCACACACCTAGAGCCTCCACATAGAATCCTCGGACAGGAAAGACAGGGCTGCCTTGGATGTCACAGAGATCCGTGGGGGGCCCCTTCAACTTCGGCACTCTGTTCATCCGTGGTCAGTTGGCGGAGGGGAAATCTAACCAGTCATTTCTCCTTCTGACGCTCAATAGAGGAACTTGAGGCCTCACGAAAAAACTGCACGCATAGAATGTTATTCCTGCAGCATATCAGGCGTTAGTGTGCAGATTAAGCTGTGGGACCCCAAGGATGCCACCATCCATCTCTGAGCCCCAGTGAGGGGTGGAATGGATGCCCTTCAACTGCCCCTTCACATGCCAATGATCTGCGGTTAGACGTGAGCTTGAGGTTGGAAGCCTCACTTTGTGGCTAGGACTTTTCTGTAAAGTAGGCACCACACTCAGCATGTGGCTCGAACTCACCACCCAGAGATCAAGAGGTGCGTGCTCTACCGACTGAGCCAGCCAGGCGCCCGGATGGCTAAGACTTTTATCTTTTCCATGTTGATCCAGTCAGCCAGCCTCCGATGTTCTCCCACAAACCCTGTTATTTTATGTTTATGCTGTGAGACTAGCATTACGTATAGTAGGCACGTTCCAGGTTGCTCAGTGTGGCAACAGAGCATGTGTGCGCTTGCATGTGCATGTGCATGTGCATGTGTGTGTGTGTGTGTGTGTAGCGGACTCTGTTGGTGAGACTGGAGAAGCAGGATCCAGGCTAGAACAAGCCAAAGGCTGTGTTTAAAATCAGGGATTTATTCGGGGACAAAGGAGAGGCAGCGAAGGGTTTTTCATGTATGCTTTTCTTGCGGCATTTCCCCCTTGTCTTTCCCCAATGCCACTCTCTTGGTGACCATCCTGCCCACCCTGTTTAAAACTGCCATCCCTCTTGCATTCCCTGTCTTCCTTCCTCTGCTGCATGACCCCCTTAGTACTTACCACCTTATGACATACTATTTAATTTGGCTATTCATTCTTCCTTTCTCTCCACTCAAATAGATCAAGGAGAACAGGGATTTATTTTTTAATGTTTATTTATTTTTGACCGAGAGAACACAAGTGAGGGGAGGGGCAGAGAGAGAGGGAGAACAGAATCCAGAGCAGGCTTCAAGCTCTGAGCTGTCAGCACAGAGCCGGATGCAGGCCTCAAACCCACGAACCGCGAGCTCATGACCTGAGCCAAAGTCGGTCGCTTAACTAACTGAGCCCCCCAGGCGCCCCAGAACAGGGATTTCTGTATTTCTGTTCAGGAAGCTCCTCCCAGTTGCTAAGTAACATAGTCCATGTCACATAGCAGACTGTTAATAAATACTTATTGAACAAATGGATTAATCTCGGCAGGTAGATGGTCTGTGCTTCAGTGCTTCAGGGGAAGGAAGTGGTAGAGACCCAGGCAGCCTGTGAGACATGGCAGTTTTGTTTCTCACGAGTGTTTGGGCAGGTTTGGGGCAGCTTTTGGCAGAAGTGACAGGATAATTTATGGAGAAACACAAGCCAAGGCAGGGCTGCCCTCACCCCCAGCCACTGGACACCTCAGCCAAGGGGAGAGAGTGAGACCTGAGGCCCAGAGCAAGGGGCCTCTGGGCCAGCTCTTGGCAGACACAGGAAGAACGGCAGCCCCGTGGGGCTCAGCTGTCGGTACGGAAGTGAGAAAGTGCCTTCACCACCAGGACAGGACAGGCCAAGGAGGGAGGGGGTGACAGCTAATGGGTATGGGGTTTTTTCCGAGTGATAAAAATATTCTGAAATTAGATAGTTGTGGTGGTTTCCCTACTCAGTGACTATGCTAAAATTATACACCTTATGGTAAGCACATTATATCTTAAGAAACTTTTTTTTTAAGGCAGTGAAAGTTTTATATAATAGGTCTTTCACTTTCAGAGCTCTGAGCTCCCAAGTCGTAAAAAAAAAAAAAAAAAAAATCGGAGGGGCGCCTGGGTGGCTCAGTCGGTTGAGCATCCTACTGCGGCTCAGGTCGTGATCTCATGTTTCATGGGTTCGAGCCCGGTGTTGGGCTTGCTGCTGTCAATGCGGAGTCCGCTTCAGATCCTCTGTTCCTCCCTCTCTACCCCTCCCCTGCTTGCACTCTCTTTCTTTCAAAAATAAACATTCCCAAACAAACATTAAATTAAAATCTGAATTCTCTGAGGCCACCATGTTGTGAGGAAGCCCAAGCCGTATGGAGAGGCTCCTCATAAATGCTAGGACTGGTCTCCCGAGTCTCAGCCTGCATCCGTGAGTGAAGTTGACTTTGATCCGCCCCGTTGAGCCTTCAGATGACTCTGGCCTCTGCTGACATCTTAGTGAAATTGCATGAGAGAACTTCAAGCAAGAGCTGTCCAGCCAAGTTCTTCTTCTTGAATTCCCACAAGATCTCAGGCAAAATAAAATGGTTGCTTTAAACTGTTAAATTCAGGGATAATCTGTTAAACATTAAGAGAACGGGAATACTTATAATCCAGCTGATTTCTTCTTCCTCTCTTGGATTCATTTTATAGGAAGTGAGGTGAAACCAGGAGCGGGGAAATGTCCTTAACATTTTCTTTTCCTGAAGGTTTTTTTTTTAAAAAGTAACCATTTGTTTAATAATGCACCCTGTTTCCACACAGAGGCTTTGAAGCAGCTCACAGACAGTTAAGAAAAGATTAAAAAATAAGGGAGGGAGGGGTGCCTGGTGGCTCAGTTGGGTAAGCGTCCAACTTTGGCTCAGGTCACGATCTCCCAGTTTGT